ATGCATGTTCGATATGTCGGGGTTTATTCTGGATAAGTATGAGTTTCACCTCCTACAGTATCCAGAACGAAGCTGCGCAAGGGTCGCTCTCGTTTTTCACGGCAACTCGAGACTTCGTTTACAATGGGTGGTGCTTTGACTCCAAGTAAGACATGCACTGTCCACAACAACCGGTTCTAGGTTAAATAGATAGATAGTGTTATTTGAGGTAATGCACGCGACCTGGGGTTTATTGTGCCCTCTCCTATATCACATGACCTCCCAGAGCCCCAGCAGCCTGAATAGTTCCAGGAGTTTTTCAGGCGCTAGTACGGTGATGTGATTCTTGCTGATGTAGACGGAATCCAGGGCCTCGAGCCTTTTTCCACAGATTGCTGTGCAATTCAGGATTAGGTGCGCTGGTGTTTCCTGTTCCAGGTCGCCCATGTTGGACAGGCGTTTCCTGAGCTTACAGTTCCCTGTGTAGATTGCGCCGAGCCGACGACATTTTTCTCGGGGGAGGTGGATTAGTTCTTTAAACCGGGAGAGATTGTATCCTCCCAGGAGCAGCTTGGCGTGGCGCATGCTTGCTGCCTGCCGCCAGTGCCGTTCTCTCTCCTCCGTGAGGAGCAGCTCCTTAAGAGTGTGGGTTTCTATCGCTATGTTTGGCTCTCAGTTCGTCTGCCTTCTCATTCCCTTATACTCCCTTTTTCCCTGGTACCCACATTAGGTGCACCCGGTTGCACAAGGACAGGTGGTTTAGCCTTTCTATGCATTCTTCAACTAAAAGCGATTTGGTCTCGTATGACAAGATCGCTTTTAGAGCCGCTTGATTATCACTGAGAATATCTATGCGCTGGTTGCGGCTGAGGTTAATTTCAGCGCACTGATATATGGCAAAAACTTCTGCCTAGAAGATACTTGGGAAGTAGCCCATAGGTATGGACAGCTCGGTACGTGGTTGCGCAATACCTGCCCCAATACCTTCCGGGGTTTTAGAGCCATCAGTGTACCATTGAATGGCATTGTCTTCCAGCAGCCTTTCCAGCGTGGAGTCACTCCACTCCGTCTTGCTGGTTCTAGGTTACCGGAATTGTATCCGGCCAAATGCTGTTATTTCGGAGATCCCCTTTCTTAGTCCACCCATGTCCTTCTGACTGACTGCAAACTAGCCCCTCAGTTGCTCAGATATTTCTTCGAAATTTCATACGCGTTATTTTTCTGCGCAAAGCTGCTCATTTGTCGGAACCGGCAATATCGGGCTACTATATCATGCCATATAAACTGAACAAACAAAATCAAGTTCTTGTATGTAAAAGTTCATGTAAAAAACAACCGAAAATAATCTTTCTTATTCCAAATGCTTAACGAGAATCAAAGTTAGCACCAATCTTCCAATTTCTTTCAAGAAATAAGATTTTTTATTTGTGTCTCCTTGTGTTTTACTGCGCACTGAACGTACGCTATCATAAAACAACTGTTTTGTTGTTACTTTATATTTATTGGTCCGGCGCATTCTCATTACCTAACCCAAATAAAATAATATCCAAAAATTAAGATGTCCTGGATAGCAAATAATATTCGCAAGGCATTAAACTGCACAACTAATCAGCCATTCCTCCAGAAATGGATAAATATTCACGCAGCAATTACCAACACACCAACCAGTGAAGTGGGTTTGCGCTACCTTTCGTTCGAAGAGAAGCGTGCCAAAGGTCCCCTCATACGCCGATATGGTTACAAAGAGCGTCTACATCAACGTGGTCTGCTACCTCACTGGGATAATGGACAGAAATTGCCAATGCCAGATTATCGACCGAAAAATGCATGGTCTGAAAAGCGTGCGCTTTTTGGTCAAAATGATTATATCGACATACTAGGTTCTGATCGTCTACATCCAACGCGAGTGTTATATTCAGTACCATCATGGCTGCGTGGTGTCTCCGGCAATGAATATCAAGTGCTGCTGCGTAAACGTAAAATGCTATGCAAAACCAAGTATCCCATTGCGCGACCAACAAAGTGGAAACAATTACAGAAGCGTATACTTTATTTGTATCGGTTTCTCAATCGCAAAACGAAGACCAGTTACTCCAAACAATAGTGTAGAGCTTATAAAAATTGTGTTAAATTGAATAAGGCAATATTATGGGATTTGAAAAATTTTATTAAGAGTTTATAATATGTTTTAAATAAAATCTAATGATTCAATTTGAAATCGAAGTGTGTTGTGTTGTATTTGGAAAAATAATATACATAATATGTACATAAACGACCAATTGTGGATATTGTGTAAGTTCAGATGCTTGAACTGATTTCTGTAGACTCGAAGAAATCGTCTAAACGCCCATCGTCAACGTCATTGATTATCAATTAAAGTAGTCAAAGTTTTTATTTTCAATAATTTTTATTTGTTGTTGTTTCTTGATTCCGTTCATAATGTTTTACTTCATAATATATATTTGTTTTCATTCATAATAATAATTATACTCATAATAACCATATAATAATAGCATAAACCTTAGAAGTTGTTCTTAAATACATTCGTTATACCACTATAAATTTTATATTTGAGTTTTAATTTGTAGCGTTCACAAAAAAAGTTGATAAACTATGCGTATAAAAACTATCACCAAATGCTCAAATTAAAATCACTTGTAAAAACAAAAATAAATACAGAAAATATTACACATTTTGAGAACAGAAACAAAATAATAATTAAATTTTTATAATCGATTCGTTTTTTATTTTTATTTGACTAAAGTTCTATTGTAATTTTTATTATAGCTATTGTATGTATGTTAACAAATATGCTTTCCTCTTTTCATGTAAATTTGGAAAAGAAAATGGGTTTATTATCAAGGTTTTTTCTCCAATTGAAATTATATAAACTTCTCCAACATAATTTCTATGGCGGGAACCAGGAACTCACATACATGTACGTGACTACTTTCCCTCATCTGTCGGAAGCCAATTGATTTGTATCATAAAATATATTTCAACAAACAGTTTTACAGTGCTTTTGCCTACAAACCACTTCAGGAGTCTTTAGAATCTTGTTACTATTTCATTAAGTAGAATTTAATTTTAAAATCTTACCATCTCTGCTAATGATTCGCTTTAATCTGGAATAGAAATACTTTTTAGCAATTATTTTAACGAAATTGAAGTTGAATTTTCCTGGGATAAAATAAAACATTGTTTTAATTATTTATAGTACTCTATTATTTGTTTGTTGTGGTCTATGGTTGTTTACTATATTGGTATATAGTATAGTGTTGAGTATATTTGTTTTTTTGTGTGTTTAATTAGTTCATACAGTTTTTAGTTATATTTTTTTTATTCATTTTTTGTTTGTTCGGTTTTTTAGTAATTTACAGTTAGGCACAAAGTATGATTTCCATTATTATTATTTGCTCGCCAACATTCTTCAACCTATCACCGTTCATTTTTTAACTTTGCTCCAACTTTTTCATTTGCATATTTTGTTTGGGTTTTTTATTGATTTAATTAGCAGTACCTGTTTGTTTCTTCCTGTTCTGGCTACAAACGCACACACATACCTATAACATACAAGTCGCGCCAGTTGGCTCACTTGCAAATTGGAAAAATACTATTTATACATACAAGTCCTAATTTCGTTTAGGTTCTAAGTGCTACTATTATTAAATACAAATATGCAAACATACATATTCGGGTTTTTTTGTTGTCGGTATTTTTGTGTATTTAAGTACTATTTATTTTTTTATATGGTAGTTCGATCTACGAAATTAATTATTACTTGGTAATCACTAAACGCTATCATATTTGCTCTTATTGTTGTTGGTGTTGTTTTATTTTACTTTGTGTATAGTTTTCTGCCGACGTTAATGTTCGTCTGTATGTTTGTGTCTTTCTTTGATGTAGTAATTTTGTATTTTGCAAATACAAACAAAGTATTCAGTAATGTGTGCTCACTTATTGAATGTGGTAAATAAAAAAATCTCAATACACTGTCTTGTCATATACAAACCATAGCGTGTTTCCAACTTAAAATTATGTCCGACAAGGAAGTAAAATGCAAACGATTGTAAAATCGAAAAAGAAAAACCAAAAATTAAAAACAACTGAATTTACTAAATTAAATATTGTTTTATCTATAAAAAAATAGTGATTACTTCTGGGTTTTCATCTCTTAAATGTTGATTTTTCAGACGATATTTAGTAATTTAAATTAAAAACAAGAAAAAAGTTAACTGCAGTTGTACCGAAGCTGAAATACTCTTCGCAAATAAAAAAGTTTTCATAAAATAACTTGTTTTTTTTTTTTTTATTGGTTTAAACGATTTTAACAAATTCTGCGAAGATTTTAGCGTTGTCTTGGAAAATTATATACACCTTATTACGTGAAAATATCTTATACGGCAGTTTTAGTGCGATAGTATTCCGATCTGAATAATTTCTTCGGAGCTGGTAGCGTTATCTTGGGCAATAAGCCATACCAACTTTATTCAATATATCTTGTCAAATAAAAGGATGTTCCATACAAGGACTTGATTTAGATCGTTCAGTGAAGGGTTTAAAATATGCTCGTCTTCTGATCATTTGTAAATATGCTTTATAAGATTTCCGACGTTTTCTTTTAGGTGTTACAAACCACTAACCCTTAATGCTAAGGTACGTTAAGATATAGTGTTTTGAGCTTAGAAATCAGGCAAACCGGAAACAGTCGCTTTAAAAAGTAGAAGAGTAAGAGCAACGCCCACTAAATGAGAAGCGTGAGCAGGCAGCTACCGAATTGTAAACTTGTAATATATAGAGTCGCGATTGAAAAAACATTTTCAGACAATTTTGACAACCCGAAATTACGCTACTTCACTACAAAATTATTTGATATTGATTTTTCAAGTTCAAACTCAATAAACAATACTCAAGCGCTGCACCAGCAAATGCGTTCGGATCTTTGATTTTCTTATGAATAATAATAAATGTATAACAGAATTCAATTCTGCCACTTTTTAGCAAAACAAAAATAAACCAAATTTGCTTTGAAGTTTTCTATAATTACAAATATATATTATATAAATAAAAAGATGTCAGTAAGTAGTAGAACATTTTAAGGTGTTACTTCTGCTTGTTTGTTTGTTTACTTTACTTAACTTTCGTTAATTATAATTTATAATTATGTATAAAATGCTAATTATAATTAAATTGTATGTAATTAGAATGACATAGTCTTACAAAAATTGTCTCAGTTTCTCTGTTAAATGTATGTATGTAATCTTTCTCACGTTAAAGTACTAATAACAATAATTAATTTAAATACAAATCAAATGAAATGAAATAAAATATTACGCAAGGAGACATTTAAAATGCCAACCAGGTGATATAAAATGTTAAACCTACAAAAATAAAACTTAATTTCTTCCAATGAATTTAAAATACATTTGAAAACACCCGCGTAATGCAAGGTAATATGTGCGAGTAATGCATTATATGAATTTTTAATATATTTTAGTTTTCAACGAAACAATTAATTTTTTTTCAATGATAATTTTCAAAATAATATAGCAGCAACACTTGTGCCGCGCTAAATTTATAAATAATTATGGTAACATTTATTTTTAATACATTATATAGCAATATCAAATGCGAAAAGTAATTACAATTTCGTATGTTTGTATTCTCCAATCCTTACAATCATTACCACATGCTGATTTCTGTGTGCTGTGCAACACCTTGGCCCATTTTCGGAACTCACGCGCAATTTATGGTACAAACTATATATGCTATATAGCTAAAATAAAACGACTGCGTGCCTTGCTCTCATTTTGCGCTTAATAAAACGTAAATATATGATCGATATACATATATGTATCTCAATTTAATACGTGTGTCTAAACTGCAGCTATGCAAGTGTAACTGTTCGTGTTGCCTTCGTGTCGTGGTGTTATGAATTACATAAATTTCGTTTCTAGTTTTATTGTTATTGTTTAAATGTTTGTATGTATGTATATATATTTGTTTTTTGTTTTCTTTCAAGTGTTTTAAGTTCTAATTTCATCACTTTTATGTAAAATAAATTAATGCTTCTTCTTTAATCAGTTTCCTTTAGCGGCTTCTTTGGCGGCCATAATAAGAGGCGTTAGGCTAGCCAATGGACGTGCTAATTTCAGGAAAGGATGCTGTATGCATAAGAAAAAAAATAGTTTAATTTTGAGCGAAAAAATATATGGGCGTTTTTCACTGAGTTACCTTCAACAAATCGTGTGCACTCGCACGTCGTTCGACATCGACTTCCAAACACTGATCTAGAAAATCTTGAAATACTGTCGATAGTTTCTCCTTCTCCTTGATTTCTGGCTTGCCATTTGTGGCAATGAGGTACAGGGCTTTCAATGGATTCTCATTCAGATAGGGCGGCTCACCCTCAACCATCTCAATAGCCATAATACCGAGTGACCACAAGTCGACCTGCAAATTAAAATTCAATTTAGTTTTGAAAATGAACAGTTGTAGTTGTTTATATAAATATATGCAAATTGAAGTTGTATAGCTCTGCCGAAAAAAACTTCAACTTCTACCGCATACTAATTTACATTTAGTGTGTTTCTCAATATATTAACACTCACCTTGGGTCCGTATTGTTTGCGCGTCACCACCTCCGGTGCCATCCAGTACGGTGTGCCCACCATTGTTGTACGTTTCGACTGTTCTGGCGAGATTTGCGCACAGAAACCGAAATCCGTCAGCTTCACCGAGCCGTCCAGGCCCAACAGTATGTTATCACTCTTGATGTCACGATGTATCACCTGATTGGAGTGTAGGAACTCCAAGGCCTGCAACACTTCGCGACAAACTGCCGCTATTTGACCCTCATCCATGCACGTCTCCGTGACGACATCGGTGAGCGAACCACCTGGCAGATATTCCATCACCACCCACAATTCCTCGGACACCAAATAACTGTCCAAATAATTCACCACATTCGGATGCTTATTCTCTCGCATAACAAGTATTTCGTTGATGATTAGTTCCTTTTTCGGTTGTTGCGATAAGTTCATCTGCTTAATGGCCACTTCCATACCCGTTGACGACTCGATCGCTGTGTATACCGTGCCCGATGCGCCCTGTCCGATCTTCTCCATCTTGGTGTACTTGCGATTCGGATCACCAACCGAAACGATAGTGCGTAATTTCTCCAATATTTCTTCATCGGACATTTTCTTCTTCTTGGCGGTGCCGGAGCGTGGCTGTGGAGCTGCTGTAGCCGCCGTGCTCGGTGCCACCGCTGATGGTGTCACCAATTGTGCCGGTGTCGTGTTCGCCTGTTGCGGTTGTGGCACTGCTGCTGGTGAGCCCGTCAAACGTTTCGTATTTGGATCGGTAGTATAGAGGTCTGAAGACGAGGTGTCGCCACCAATTGGTGTGGCGTATATTTGTACAGCGGCAGATGTTAGTTCACCACCGGAGATTGGTGTGGCCGGAGTTATTGTTGTGGTTGTCATGGTAGTAGGCGTCGGTAAGGGTGGTGGTGGGGGCGTTGACATCGCCACAGATTCGCAGATGGAGGAAGACACCGATGGACAATAGATGGGTGGCAGCAGCGACGCATCGTCATTAAATGATGGAAACGATGAAAAGGAGGAAGCAGAAGAATCGTGATTAGTCGTCGTTGCATTACAATCGATAAATTGCAAATGAGTGCTAGCAGTGGAGTTAGTAGCTGTTGTTGTTCTTGTTGTTGTAGTAGTAGTTGTGTCAACTGTTGCAATGTTAGTAGGACTAGCAGTAGCAGTAGCAGTAATGATAGAAGTAGAACAAGTACCAATGACACCAATAACACTCGTATTGCTATCAAGATTACTGGCAATGGTCGTCGACGTAGTCAACAACGTTGCGGTTATATTACAAATGGATGTCGATGCATGCGTAGCGACAGGCTCAACAGTTTGCTGTGGCAGAGGCGGCGCAGTCGCAACGCACTCGGACGTTGCTGTTGCTGACTTTGCTGCTGCTGCTGCAGGCGAAACAGAAACAAAAACACAAAACGAAAACAAACAAACGAACGAACGGAAGGCGAAACGGAAAAGCAGACGATACGCAACATACAAGTCAGTTATTTGTTATTTTTTGGTAAATTTTTGTTATGTGATTGAAATTTGGTAAGAAAGTAATATAAGCGTTTGTGGACATAATTTGCTTACAATGATCGCGAAAGTTATGTTTTCACGCACTACACGCACACTCACACCTTCATACGCACACACATACATATTAACCGGCAGCAAAACCCACATTCAAACGTTTGATACATAGTATGTATTGCCATGTAATGTGTGTATGTATGTATGTATATGTGTAAGTAGTGTTAGCCATACGCCAGCGAGGATGTGCGTGACGCGTTTGCCAATTACATACGTGCCAACAACTGTATATCGTATAATGGAATTTAAAAAAATACTTTTGCACCATCAATGGCTAAGTTAATTTGCTGCCAAAATGTCGTGGTTTCACATTTTCAACTATGCACCTCAAAAAACGGGCGGCAGTTTGTTGGAACGCGTGCAACTTGCGAAATGTATTGTTTACTACTAACTAAATTATTTACAATAAAGTGGCAAAACAAAAAACCAAAAGCATTTAATGATATACTGTAATTACTTTCGTTATTTTTGTTCTTATCCAACGTGGTTGTTGTTGTCGCACTTGTTGCTGCCGCTGCGGCAGCGACTCCTGCGGTTGTCGCAATTGCGATATTCGGCATGCGGTATTGTTGCTGTTGCGGTTGCGCAACATTGTTCTGGTGTTGGTGTTGCTGCAGCTGCTGCTGTTGCAGTTGTTGTAGCGGCGCGGTTGGCGTGACCGCACGCAAATGTTCAATGCCCTCCGTCACAGACACGGCCCCCTCAATGGGACGCGTATAGATCGATTTCGTGCGTTCGGGCCGCGATGCGATTGGCGGTGGCGCCGGTTGAGGCGCACCCAATATATCATCTTCATTGGCGGACGAATGTTGCGAAGATGAGGAGGCCGTATTGCCACCGAAATTATACGAATGTGATTGACTCAAAGCGCCACTATGTGTCTGATGGTGATTGCCATGTACCGTCGGCCCCACACCACCGATGCCACCGCCAATGCTGCCGCCCAATTGACCGATCAAACCGACAGTGTTGGCATTCGTATTTGCATTTGTACCGCCAAGGCTTAGATTGCTGAGATTGACGCCAATTAAATTGCCGCCACTATTCGAAGCGTGTAACTCCGAGTCTGTTGGTGTGCTGCTGGGACTGCTGCTGCTAACGCGACTTAGCGAGGAGCCTGTAAAGTGGGGCATAGATGAGAGCATGTATTTCGTAATATATTTGTGCGATGCGCTTACCTGAATGCGTCGTAATGGCATTTGTCATGTATTTGGAACTTGGCCGCTGCTTTGTTGTATTGTCAAACCACTTGAGCACATCCAACACAGCTTGTGGGTTGTTCTTCTGCTCTTGTTTGCTGATGTTTGAGTTCATCAGTAGACGCGCCCACGCCTCCGGCATGCCCTGAAAACATAGGAAAACGGTGAAGATAAATAAAAAAAAGAATCGATTAAAAGGAAATGGTAAATTAAAAAATTTAACCATATTCAATATTTGCTAAGTGGCTTGACAATTAATTACATTTACAGCAAGATGTGCGTGCCTGCTAACTAGCCAAACTATATTCGTGTGCTATGACTTGCTCGTGCGTACAACTTACAGCGCAGTAGCAAAAATAAAGCTTGCCAAGAAAGAAAGGTGGTAAATTCGTAAAACAAAAATAAAATAGATAAACGCAAGTGTCTGCGCCGGCAGCGTTTTTGCGTAAAAGCTTGTTTTGATTTTCTGTGCCAACGGCCGAATAACAATGAAAATAAATACGACCGGTCAGTTCTTACGAAATTTATGAATAACTTTTGTTAAGGGCAATGTGAATGGGATACGTACGTGATTGGTATATGAATAAGAAAAACATTAATTGCATTATGTGACCGATATATGATTACTGAAAAAACTCGAAAGAATATGAGGACATATCCAAAAATGCATTATTAAACGGATATAGATGTAAATATTATAATTTAAAGAAACAATTATTTGATTTGAATTCCTGTGATTCTCATTTCGTTCCGATATTTTTCAAAATCGCATGCGAAATTTTGCACTAATTCTAAATAAAAAACATTGAAAATTGAATTTAACACCAGAAAATGTTAAATATTTGATCCTTGAAATCTAATATTTTTTGCTTTTATATAACAAGTTGCATCGAATATAATAAGGTAGACGTGGTCGGACCATTGCCATGCCCACAAAATAATTTGTGTGAAAATACGTAATTTAAAGCTGGGTTGCATAGGAAAACTCCTCTAATAAGATTAATGGATTCCTTAAAGAATTTGATCTTTATAACTAAATTCGGAGAAAATATTCCTTGTTTGTTTTTTACAATTTACTACAAAATGACTAAAAATTCCATAATTTTTAAAATAATAATGCCAGAAACGTAAAGTTCGATTGCAAGAAGTATAAATATGTATATGCATAGTATATCTTTATGATATATGTATCAGTACAAAAACTATCTTAACATTTCCTTACTCAAATTTAACAACTCTCAAGTCATTTGACCGATTTCAATCAAATTGGACTTATAACATCCCCACCTTCTTGGTAAAATTGTAAAATCGGTTCACAATGTTATATACTTGATATCAAAATAATGGAAATCATTTTGCTAGTTCTCTCTAGCCACGTTGTTTGATGAAAAAAATTGTGTTTTATGAAGATCTTTATGAATCTGAATCGGAGTCCAGTTACCATATAAGCTATAGTAATTCGGCATTAGACGGTTCCGACAAAAGAGCAGCTTCTTGGAGAGAAAAGAGTTATCCAAAAACTGAATATAATATTCATATACTTTGTAAGGTCTCCGACGTTTCATTCAGGGCGTTACAAACTCGTGGTAAATTTAATATACTCTGTTCAGGGTATAAATATAAAACATGGAATCTAAGCTTTAGGTTTAGAATAAAGACAACTTAGCAAGAAAAACTGGTATTTTAAAGTCGCCGTAATATTTTCAATACTTTGAATATTTGAAAATTTGATATAGGCTCCGAAATAAAATTGATAAAGTTGGTTGAATGTTTTACTATAAACTAACACAATACACCAAACAAAACTTAGTATTTTACATTTAAAAACACATTTTTGTATATTTTTCAATACTTAAGTGTAAGTTAAATAGATAATGCGGTGACATAACTTTAGGCAAAAGCACGTATGTGTGTGCTAATTTTAAGAGTATAGAAGCTGGCTAGAGTTTTTATAGCATTAACAAATATAAATATTATATTATTGATATTAATACATACATATATACGTACATATGTAGATATTACGTACAAATATTAAGCGATTATAATAGATTTAATAAAAAACATTAGCAGCCAGTAGAAAAAGGAGAAAAGCATTTGACATTAGGCAATTCTGTGTTTATGTTTGTATACAAATGTAAAGATGTTATAGTGACACTATTTTCTGGAGCTGAGTAGAAAAAATAAAACTAAAACGAATAATCAAAAAGAAAATACTATAAAAAACTATAACTAGCACAAATCAGCGCGCGTTTGGGGGGTTGAATGCCTTGGATGCGCTACAAGCAGATTTTGATGTTGGCTGCTAAATAAACCCTCAATATGTAGGGATAGCGCTTATTGCTTGGAAGTTATCTTTACACTATCCTTAACGCTTTTTGTCGTACATTTACACTTTCATAGCCGATACTTACTTTTATTGGCAGCTTGTATGTGCATAAGCAAACACGCACGCATATTTTCCAAAAAAAAAAAAATTTGAATTAATAATAAATGTATACAGGAAGAAAGAAAGAAAAGAAGAAAAAGACAACAAATAAAATAATCACCGAAATTACAACTAAATACTGCCTCAAAATTTAATATTATTACTTGTTTATAATTTAATTTTTGTTTTTTTTTGAGGACCTGCGCACATTTGTTTTATGTTTTACTTGTTTGTTGTTGCTGTGATAATGTTTGAACAAAGAAATGTTGTGTTTTGGTAAATATATATTTTTTTGTTTGTTGCAGTTATATATCTTATATTCGGTGTAGTTTGCAACTGAAAAGTAGCGCAGACGAAGCGAAAAATTATTGAAAGCGGTGCTAAATATATGTGAAAGTTGTTGTTGCTTAGGCAATGTTTACACAGTTACGACTTAATTGTAAAAATAAAATGTATTTTACAATTAGATGATAAAATTTTTTATAATAAAATGCGTTTTACAATTCGAAAAGGCCAATTGTAAAGTTCTGTAAAGATTTCTGTTTCGAAATCTATATTACTAACTTAACAAAATTGTTGCGTTTACACTTGTGTTTAATGTCTTCAAAATTTGCAATGCAAAAGAGCATAATAAGCGAAATTTAAAAAACTTAAATAATTTATTTTTTTGTTGCATTTTGAAAAGTATTTAACTTTTGAAAAGAAAAGTGTGTAAACATAGCCTTACGGATACTTAAAAATATGTCCCACAATTTGAAATTAAAGCTTCGTTTATATTTATTAAGCGAATTGGGCTGTAAGGAAAATTTACGATTTTTCAAATGAGTATATGTACTACTATGATCGAATTGAAGGGTGAATTTCGTCCATTTCATCTCCTTCAAAGTAATCCCCTCCCGCTGCAATACACTTTTGCCAACGAATTTTCCAGTTATCATAGCACTTGGAAAAATCCTCCGTCGTGATGGTCATCAGAGCATTCTTCAATTCAGCTTTTTTAACCTCAATTGAGTCGAAACGGTGTCCTCGGAGTGGTCATGTGAATTTGCTGAATAGCCAGAAGTTACACCAAGGTAAATTAGGCGAATGCGGTACGATAGTAGTTGAAAATGTGGCGAAATGATCACGAATAACCAATGCAGTATGAGATGGATAGTAAAATCGAAGAATTCACTTTTAGAGCATCTCAAAACGACCCGTATCTCAAATACTAATGAATATTTTGGCGCGAAGTTTAGCATAGATGTCATTAACAGTACTACCAACTTACAGAAAAAACCGATTCGAAAAACACGCGAAGTATAAATTAAATCACATTTCAATTTGATTACAGTAGCACATATTTTTCTCCAAATACGAGAAACAAAGTTTTTGGAAATTGCAAATAGTTATTTACTTTTAAATATACCACTTATCTAAATCATGGTTTCACTTTCCTCAACTGAAATTTGGCTTGACGATTTCTTAACCTAACTACTTCTAACCATTTTGTTTAATTTTTTTTTTTACCATCTTATTGAACTCAGTTTACAATCAACATATACATATATTTTAGCGACCCTACGACAAGTAACTGAAAACTTCCGAATGCGGGCGACTTAAATATTTCGATGCCGGATTTTTGACCAAAAAACTAGCAATTAAAAAATAAAACTAGGAAATCCATTAACTTCACAAATACAAAAGTTTAGATACCAGAATTTTCTATATGCAATGGTGGACCTATCTGAATAAAATTCGTGAAGTTATCGACAAATTACCAGCTTATTAGAGATACAATTTTAGGTCGATATATCACTGGTTAGTGCTTATACAGACAGACCGACACAGGTCATTTATACATAAGTTTAGAGAGTCTTCGACGTTTCCTTCTTTATGTTACAAACTTATATTATATATATCAAGGATACCGATTGCTCTCGGTTATATAACTAAATTCTCTATTTTTTATTTTTTTTATCACCAACACAAAAAAATATTTGAACACAGTTTAGAACCACTTCTTGACTACAAGCCGGCATCCGTTTCCGCGACAGTCGAGTTTACGGACACAGATTTTTAACCGGCCAAGGATTGTCAAACCGGCATCATTTCTCCAAATTACTTTAGGAATGTTTTCTTCCGCTAAAACTACTGATTTGCACCTAAGATTCGGTCAAAAAGCTGCCTAGATATTGTCCTATTTACCAGTACATATTCCTTGTACCACATACTATATATTATATTTTCAAAAATTAATTAATTTTCTACAAATMTATTTTCAAATCGAAATGGGTCATATATGGACTAAGTTGCTTTGTAATCTAGTTTCCAAATAGTTTTCTTTTCTTAATAATTAATAAAATCAACAATGTATACAATATATAAAGGTAAATATGTATATAATCAAGGTTAAAATATGATTAACCGGTACACAGCATACCAAAAAATAATTATTCTAGCATGTTAGTTTTTTTGCTTAGCAAATATTTGCTTAGACCTTTGCATTCCGTTTAAGCGAAGATTCAGCAGTGGGAAATTTGCTAAATATATAAAGAAAAATTTGGTGACCGCGTGAGTTCTTCGTGTACTGCGCGAATAAACCTCAAATTCTTAATAAAAAAATGGAAATGGAAATGTACGCAAATAAAATATACTCGAACGCAGAAAAAAAAAAATGTGAGACGCCCATAGAGAAGTTCCACCAGTTACTTTAGACAAAATGCATTATATCTCACATCCACTTACAGCAGTTTTCTCCGTATATGCCGTGGTGCGCATTCTGAAGGATGTCGGTGTATCATAAGCACTTGCAACAATTTTTGTTTTGCCGATAATAATAATGATGACACTACTCGAATCCACGCATTAGCACGATTTCACTATAACGGCCGAATTAAACGCTTTTAGAAAGTACGAAGAAAACGACACAGATACGAGTTTCTAAAACAAACACTGTTATCTGTGTGTTGTTTAACTGGCGACTTTATCAACAAGAATGTTTGCACTGCTGCACTTGAAAGTGTGAGAGTCATGATTGTGGTGAGTCATTAAGGTGGCACCTATACAGGGAACAATGCTTGTTTTTCATAGTGCGAAAATTTCAAAAACTAATATTTTTTTATATTTTACTTTATGATTGAATGAGTGTGTTAATTTGCAAAAACAGCTATTTGGGTGAGAACGGGCAAAAGTTAAATTTTCAGTTTTCTTGTGAAAAAAATAAAATAAAAAGGAGACATGGAAAAACTCAAATTTGCGGCCTTCGCGACATAAGCATGAAACTATGCGCATAAATAGGTAGCAATTTATACCATAAATACTTATGCATATGCAGCTTTTCAAAATGTTCATTAGCGGCGATTCGTATAGAAGTTACGCATAGTTTTGTACCGTGGTTATGATTGAAATGGAGAACTTACCGTAAATTCACCGGTGATCGCGTCGAAGCCCACATGTACGGTATGCTCGAAATTCGTGGGATAAGATATATTCGGTTTAGAGTCTGTATGCGAGGGCTTCGAACCTTTTATCTTATTTTTTAGTGTCTTTTTCTTGCGATCGGGATCATCTGGCTCTGTGAGAACATAAAATTGGGAGTTCAATAAGCTTTATTAGCAGAAAACAAATAAACTAAACGCACGCACTTACCTTTGGGCAACGGGCGCATATCGACGGGTGGTCCATCGCCAGTACCGCCTACAACAACCCCCGTGTTGATGGCACTACCGCCGATACGATCGCCACCGCGATTGCTGGTCAAACGCACTGGCGGCGCTGGTGGTTTGTCCTCTTCGCTGGACATTTTTTTCCGTTGCTGCAGCGGTTTGGGGAGATGATGATGTTGTTGTAGTTGTTGATATTTTTCGTTTTGTAGCTCTGCAAATGGATATTGGTATAGCGTATAGTTGCGATTGGTTGGACGAACGATAGCCCACTGAGGCGCGTCGATGACCGGCAAGCGTTCAACTGTGGGCGCTGCAAAACAAAAACGAAATAATGGATAAGAACGGTAATAAATATACATATTGTGTGTAAAAATAAAATAAAATAATATACATATGTACAAATATTTGATTTTATTTTCTATTTATATTGTGTGAGATTACTCAACATTTTCGGACTAAATAAGCTTTGCTTCACCCCATGCAAACTTTTTTTTTGCTTTTATATGTTCTGCAGTCGATTATTACATACAGACGCTGATAGCAGGGAACGCGATCGCGTCAAGTCATTGAAATTCGAACTTAAGAGCATTTGTCACACTTTTTTGCAAACAAGGCTATAAAACGAGTGGAATAGAATGAAGCCGAAAACGGCAAGAGAAGACCGTGAGGCAAAGGCGTGTGCACTGGTTTTATGATGGCTGGAAACGAAGAATGTTGACAAAAACACAAATTAAATAATAATAAAAAAAAATTATCAACAAATATCACTAGCATTAGAATTTGAGCGCACAGCACATAAATAACAAAAAACATATAGACAAATGTATGTATATATGTACATATGATATTGCACAATAATATTTTTTGTTATCTGTTTTCACACGTTGTTTGCCAGTTTGTTGCTTATTTTTCTTTATCCAACGCTTTTCTAAACTTATTGTGTGCTGCGGGAAATTGGAACAACTTTGCCTTGTCCATTGTTGGTATCAGCAATTGATAAGTAGCCAGACTTCAAATGAAAGAATGGGGCCGGCAGCAATGAGAAATACTAGAAAAGGCTGAAGGCTAGAGGCTAGAGGCACTAGGAGCTGAACAAGTTAACACTATATACATATGCATATCTTCGTCATATTTTCACCATTGTCGGCACCCCAACAACAGCAAAAACAAATGCAAATTGAACAGGAATGACAGCAGCGACGGCGGCGGCGGCGGCACAAAATGTCAATAACTTTGCTGTCGCAAGACATTTCTCGACGTTAGTCTTCCGGTTGGCTTTGAAAATCACGGGAAATTCACGACAGCGAAGTGGGCGGTGGAATAAATAATATGTATATACGATGTGTACAACCGACGGTGCATACGTATCTCGATATATATAAACGCAAACGTACGCGTGCACAAATGCAACAAATAATCAAAGAAAACGAAAATAAATCCACAAACGCGCGCACTCAACGCAATGTCAGACAAACAGCGGGGTCTTGATATTGGCGGGTGGTATAGGATAGGCCAGAAGATCAACAGTGGCAACCGCGTAGGTGACAAGAGCGAGTGTCACATAAATTCTTTGAGAAAACTATATTTACTAGAACAAATAATCTGTGTTGTGCGTGCCGAACGTTGGGATGTAGTAGACGTTGAGAGAGCGCGAGCGTAGCGCCAATGCTTTTGTAGTATACGTATGTATGGTTGCTAATTCAGCCGATTTCGTAGGCAAGAAAATCCAAAAATCAAAACCAGCATCATCCCACATGGCTAAAAATACGCGCAAAAAAGTAAAAAAAAAAAAACATAATAAAGAAATAAATATAAATAAAAATATATCAAAAATCAAAAAGTAATTGAAAACGGTGGTTGTGCTGGTAGCAGAGACGAAGGGAAATGGCAGTGGTTTTGGAACGCGGAGGTGGTGAAGGTAATTGTGACAGTAGCGTAGAAAAATAAAACAAATAAAAAACAATATGGAAAATACAAATCACAGCAAAGGAGATGCTGCCTGTCAAATGATGTGCGGCAAAAAGTGCACACTCGCACGCTAATATAAATATGTACATACTTACGTATATGTATAATATATATAACATTTAATTGAATTGATAAAATAACATGCGAATTAAAGTCAAATTTCACATTATATAGATAAAACAATCCATTTAATTAGACTTGCTTATGTAATTACTGTAATTCATTTAAAATTTATACATCGTGAGCATTTAAACTTGACAAAGCGGCGATTTATCATTTAAGAAACTGTTTGTATTATAGACTAAAGTCATCCTTTGCTATGGGACAGAAGTTACGATTCGGTCTTTTCATACACAACAACGCTTGAGATATTTTTAGAAACAATGACCAAAAATTAATAAATGCACTAATGTTTTTACTTAAAAATAAATAACGGAAATAGTATAAAATTATTACCACAAACTTCTCCTATTCCGCTCAAATCGAAATATTATGTTATTGCGCCTCTGTGAGTCATCGATTTAGAGTTATTTTGGATTCAGTTACATTAGCAATTATAACAATTTTGTGATTAGATAAGTATATTTTCGGAGAATCAAAGCTTATTGGTCATAAGTTAAAATAATGAACGGTCGGCTTTTCTATTCTGGTACCTTTCGTTGCTGTATAAGATAAAATTAAAAACAAAAAGTAAACAAGTTAACATCTGCACAACAGATATAATACCCTTCAGAAATACAAAAAATTGCTTTCAATAATTTTATTTTTATTGCTCAGTTCTTTGCCAATTATTGTTCCGATTCAACCCAGTTACTATATATTATATTAGAAAGTATTTTTTACCAATTTATATAATATATTTCACAGATATACTAATATTTTTGATAAAAAGTTCGCAATTGGAACTTTGATCCAAATATTCGGTATCTGAGCACTTGGCAGACCTCTAATCGAGGACATTTTTATCTCGATAAAGAAAGTGGGAGAATCAGATGGAATTAAAAATTATGTTACATGTTGGCGTGGTTTTTGTCAGAATATATCCATTAAACCTACTCTACTTTTGCGATTCAATGTACCAATTACAGTTTTTTTTATCATAATTCATGGTTTAGTTAGGGCATTTCACGGGTTTTCCATTTTTGGCGTTTTGAAGGCGTGGCAGTGGTCCGACTACGCTTATCCACAAACTCGTCCTCCCTTTTTGCCATGGATATTAATATGCATAAACTTGGGACTTAATAACAAGAGGAGTTGCATAGATTTACTATAAATTTAAGCATGCAAATCGCATACGTATACCTCAAAAAAGCAAAACCTCACGAGACAACTGAAAACTCTCGATAAAGACATATCGGATTAACTGCACCCGCACTGCAGATAAAAAAAACTGTTGCTTTTGTGGCAACTATGCCTGTCACAGTCATTGATCGTCGCGAAAACAGGCGCTGACTGTCTGTATGTATGTATGAATAAATGAAGTGGCGTCTTGCATGGATTTTCAACAGCGCCACTGGCGGCACAACTCTACGCTGTCAACACAAACCAAAAAGAAGGAAAACGACTGAAAAAATAGCGGCAAAGGAAGAGAGTACCACCACTATGTCGACTGGTAGACAAAAAATTAAAAATAAAATAACTAAATCAACGATGGGCAAATTGAAAAGTGTGCTGGCAAAATAATTCAATGGGATGTGAAAAAAACCAACAGGAATGGCATAGGCGCAGAGCAATGGCATCAGTAGCAACGACTGCGAAAGGGCATGCACATACATACATATGGATTTATGTACTATGTATATATGCTTGTGCATTTGCATAACAAACGCAAGAGCGTGTGTGCCTCACAGAGCCACATACCGTCGTCCATAATTTCAATTTCAATAAATTTGCCGCAACTTGATAAAAATAAAATCCACTAAAATACTACATTTAAAAGTGGAAGCCAAATGCACTGAAATTAAATGCTACTGCAACATAAAAGAGTTGGAGACAAATAATGTAATAACAAAAATAAAGCGAAAAAAAACTCCAAAGAATTAAAGAAAACCATTGCAGTCTGCCGCCAAAATGGGCAGTGCCGGCGGCAGGAAAACAAAACAGGCGTCGCACGCGCGATAAGCAAGTAGCCGATACTATGGGCCAACTATATGTGTGTATGTCTAGTAATGAATGTGCAACAAATGAATACAACTGCTAACAGAAGCTGTCAATTTGTAGGCAAAAAGAGGGCAATGTACCACAAATATAAAATCTGTAATCAAATTGCTGATTACAAAATCTGTGGGGTAAAAAGGATAGTGGTGGAAAAAAAATTAAAAAGATTTAGGCTGACATGTATACAAATTATAAAAAATTTCAGAAAAAAATCAAAATCTACAAAAATGCATTATCATAAATACTTTCACAATCAAAGAATGGTGATGATTAATAATATTTATGTTAATATGTAAGCACATACATATGTACGTTCGTATGTACATGTTGAGTGTCGAGCTTAAATTATCAAGTACAACTGTAAAATGTACATAAAAATATATATAACAAAATATTATAGCATTATACATGGTATTTACTTATAATGAGCCACTGTTGGCAAACAAAGCAAACAAGAATAAAGAAGAGAAAACCTAAGTAATGCAAAGAATCGAATTGGTTTTGTACTAGTGCGAAAAGGGGAAATTTTGGACCGATGCCAAACTATTGCATTAGCAGAAATGCCAGAGGAAGAAAGGGGGTATTAGAAACGAAGTGGATGACGAGCTTGCCCGCTTTGCATTGGGTTCCGTGCCCTTCCTATATCGCGACATAAACAACATAAGGCAACAGTTCCATAAAGAAGAGAGGGACAGGGATATCAATTGTATATATATATATATATGTATATATAATTATAAAGCTCCCCAGAGACAAATTCCAGCAAAAAGTGACATTTTACACTATCCATTGCAGCTTCAAGAAGCCCTTCCTGAAATTCATAAGATTAACTTAGTACTTTCAGTTTTATTATATCACTTTTTAATTTACCTGACTCAAGAAAAAAATAGTTATAAATGCAACAGGTTTCACGCAGCAAGACATAAACAACTTGCTGCAAATATACAAGTTCACACATACACACACTTATAACCTTCACCTGAGTAAATCAACTACGTCGATATCAATGAAAATTCATTATTCAGATGCAAGAAAGTTTCAACACTGGGAATATATAAATGCACATGCTAACATTTTTAAACATGCATACATATATAGGAAGGGGGTACTTGTTGCCATCTATAACAAGTAATGAATAGGGAATGACTGAATTCTGCTACCGCTGCAATGGAAATTGTCGATTAAATAGTGACAAAAAGGTAGCACAGCGCAGCGGGGTGAAACATCACTAAAACAGTAACTCTCTGGCATGGCGATGCTTGCAGTAGTTGTGGCAGCGAGTATGATTCATCTTTATCAGTTTGTCGGACTACGAGACAATCAGTCCCAGCAACGGCAGCAGGCCGGGCGTCAACATTGTGACTCTGTCTAGCATACACAGCTGCTGACTCCGGCTTTGGTTGAGATAGCCGGAGCAAGTGGTTGTGCCACGTTGTCAATGTTTGGCTGAAGTCAATAATAAGTATGAAAGTACATATATACATATGTAAATATATGTGTACGTATGTTTGCATGCAGTACAGAGGGATAGCGCTAATGGGCACTTGCATAGAAGCTAGATGGAATATAGTCGGTAATTGAAGCTTTCCTGCTGAAATGATATATGACAGCAGCGAATTTGAATTTTACGCTACTGTCATATGTATTTAGCACCAACGTATTAACTGGGAGGTGTGAACATGTAATTACGCGAGAGCAGCAAGCAAATAAGCAAAATCTGAACGCAAATATATATTTTAAAACGCATTAGTATGTATAAGAATTGAATTAAGAAAGGAGAAAATTAAAACAATTTTTTTTTGACAAAGTAATTTCGGGAAAAGAACACCAATGTACCCAAAATATGAATTTATTAAGAAATTAAATAAATAAAAATTAATAATTGAACCATATTGTAATGAAACATAATGATATATATTAAAATGAATGGTACATATTGTGAATAGGCCATATAACCGTCTCGACCTTTGCAAATCTCACAATGATAGGCCAATTCCTTCTTTAGTCATTTTAACAACCTAACATGCATGAAAATATGCACACATGCATGGAATTCGCAAGAGACAAAAACCAAGAAGGAAATAGATAACATGTCAGCAAACAACAGTCAAGATGATCCAAGTCAAAGGCGCAGTTACAAAACAAAAGAGGCAAGAAGGCAAACACTTGCCGTATGAATGTAAAACAGTCCCAGCACCACTTGTGTATTACCTACAGCCTACCAACTAACAACATACACGACATAATCATTGAAGAGCATACACTGAAGTAACACAGCGTAGGCTGGAAGAAGTGCATACGGAACAAAGGTGAGCACAAATAAGTAACGTAAGTATGACGTAGACGCACGCCAAACGCTAAAGTATACAAGAAAATTAATACAATATGTGTGTAATGTATAAAAGTATATGTACATATGCAACTAATTCGCTGACTGGCTATATGAGTCGCTTGCTTGGCATGTATAGAAAACCGACTGCCGGCATGCTTAACGCATTCAAGCGCAGTGGTATTACCGCATATGCATATATTAATGCAGTTGCAACATAGGTGCAATATACCGTAGAGATAGGTTGTGGTTACTTCGCTAAGGCCAGTACTAAGTAACATTATCAGCACATTACTATGTGGTTGTTAGGCAAATTAGGACTACCATTGCCGTTGTGGAAGCCTTAACTATTAGACTCACACCACTTCAAGTAGCGTCTTCAACAAGCGGCGCCCACTTGTATTTTTGGTTAGGTATGCCGCCGCGATTAAGGTGCACATACATATGTATGTATAGGGGAGCGGAGAGTGGTTCTGAAAGTGGCGTGGAAATTGTGGTATTAGCGATTTGTGTAACTGCGCGTATGCGAACGTATGCCGCATTGAGTTTAAAAATAACAAATATGAATTTATATTCTTATTTATATGTAAATATGTAGAGATGTACATATATTCGTTTGTTGAGTGTTTCAGCAAAGTACATTTGCACTGTATTGTATGAATGAACTACAAATATACATACGCAAGTCTGTGGTTTCATACTCAAGCGTGCTTTTCTATTTTAGGTTTACATACTTCACAAAAAAATGTTTCACTTAATACATATGACATAGTGTGTAACATTGACAACAACAAAAATATATATGTATTAACTAAAAAAGGAAAAACCGTTAACATCGGATGCAGAGAAGTTGGAATACCTTTCATAAATAAAAAAGTAGAAGGTCAGTTCGTAAGATTGCTATAAGCTTAGTGGTTCGTATAGTATAATATTCTTTCCACATTTTCATAAAAAAGTTTTTCTTACAAGGACTTGATTTTAATCATTCAGTTCATATGTAAGCGACATATATGATATAGTGGACGGATCCGTTCCCACGACAGTCGAACAACCGTTACAACAACAAAACCATATAGTGGACGGATCTGTATTTTTTTAGATTGCAGCATTGCTTTTGATAATGTTTTTGCAAAATTTATGAACGATATCTCAAAAATTAGGGGCTCCTATACAATTACCGTGTTAAGGGTATAAAAATGTATATTAATAGAACTATACATAGCAAGTTAACCGGCGTCCACCTCCTTCTTTCTCGTTTGAGTTTACTTTTAAGCCATATTCCGAGGCGGAAATATTACTATTATTATTTGTTGCTTTAATAATTTTTTGTTTGCATATTCTCTCTTATAATTACACATAGCAATACAGGCATTTCATGCATACAAATATGGAATGATGACGACGAAAGTGTTAGTTGGTTGCTACCGTGTCGTGGTGTTGCGCTTCTTTAGGTGCCGCCGGAACCGTACGACGGAAATATGAAGACCACAAAAGGAAAACTAACAACAACAACTACTTTTAGTAGTTAAAAGCTAACAATAGGCTACACAACCACTAGAATAGCTATAGCTAAAGCACATAAACGAACGTGACACAAAGCCAACGTTCAAGTGAGGGAACGGAAACATATGCACGTTCTTACATACGACCCTATGCATAAATACTAAAAAGACTGTATCACATAAATGACTGGATATGTAATGGTTTAGAATGACCAAGTAGCTAAGTGACTGACTGAGCGTCAAAAGTCTTAAACTGTGCGTTAGATACTGTCTCTTTCAGCCAATAACTTATCAAAGACTGACTTAGTACGGTCGGCAGGGGTTTGGCGGTTTATGCAAACCTGATATTAAATTAAAATTAAATATTTTCGCTTATATGTGCCTGTATATTTATAATATCTTTATATGTGTAATAATGTTTGATTCATTTTGGTTAGGCCTTATTTAGTAATTAAACTAACCACTTAGCTATCTATTGTGAAAAATATCAAGGCACGAAAAGGAGGCCAGCATGATAATTGTCAAAATCGTTTATTTCGAGTTTTATTTAAATTATGATAAATTTGATATTTCCAAATTTAAAAACAAATGTTTACATAATTATATTCTAAATCTGATAATGTTCATATTAGAAGTGTAAATATATTATTTTTTAAATAGAAGTTCTTAACCTTTCACCTTCTGATTGGCGTTCTATTGCTTTCTTTTTATCATTTGCAACTTAATATTTTCACGATTGATATTAGTAGTTATAAAGAACTGAAAAACTCGTCCACTACCAAAAATCAAGTCACAATGCGCACACAATTAATTAAAATTTAATGTGCATGTATTAGAGAAAGAACAAATTAATACAAACTAATTCACATTAATAATGCCTATAATAGTTTATGGTTGAAAAATCAATTTATCTGCTAGACATGCGTTAGAGCATTGTAAGTTATTTGCTCCTAATAAAGATGTTATTTGAACAATAGAGTCTCTGTTGAAACACGTCGTGAGCAAGTTTTACGAATTTTATAAAATTTAAATAACTCACCTAATAATTTAAAAGACGAGGTTCTTAGAAATACTACCACCTCCTTCCTTTCCCTATGTGCTGTTTCCTAGGTTAAACTTCCATATTCCCTTAATGGTTATCTCCAAACCTTGGAATGCAAGTGTCAGAGTAATTGGTGGACAGCAGCAGCTGGTGACAATTGCTAAAAGTGTAATTCAGCTTTTTCGGTGTGCTGTTTCAGCTTTTTCTCTCTTTACAAGTAATTTTTTTTAACAACTCGTAACACCTTTCACGTTTTTAATTAAATTCTTTTTAGTTTTCAACCAATATATCTTTTTTCTTTATCAACTTTTTGTGGAGCAGGAAATGCGTCCACTTGCCTTTCGGTCGTTTGATTAGTCTTTCTCGTTTTTTCTTTCACTTTAGTTCCACTTCAACTTAACTCTGCACTTTTGAACATTCAATCAAAAAAATTATGGCCGAGTGCAAGATAAAAAAATTAATGAGCGGATGGAGTAGTGAAAGGTAATGAAGGAATGAAAAATCGCATTGACTGACGAAGAACGCGAAAAAATTAAGGATGATGATTCAAACAGTAATTTACTCGACGGTGTTTCAAGCTAATCATTGTAACAATATAAAATGAAACGTTCACAGCGATTATGCACTATAATTCAATAAATGGTTAAAAATAAATTAAAATTTTTAGTTCACTTTTATGGAATTGTCTGCAAGTTAAACTTAGCCATTTCTTTTACTTATTGGACAACACAAACACACCATGGAAAAAAGCTAACTGCACTCTATCGCTGCTATCGTTTCTTGTCTACTGTCACACTCGCCAAAGGTTGCATTCGCGTGGTAACTTTATATGAAATATTAGAATTTTTTCACAATTATTCTAATAAACTTTGGTAATGTTTTCGAATTTATTATAAATCTGTGTATGTTTTACAATAACAGACTAAAATATGTCAATATAGTAAAACAAACGGTGATCTGTATTGAAATACAAAGTGCTTGTGCTAAAAATTTCACAAGGAAACACTGACATATGAGTCTAACTGGCATTTCTCTTTCTTTGGAATATTCGCACCTACTGTCAAATAAGTTACTCTCTTAATGTTATCCTTTTCTTACATGCTTAATATGATCAGCTGCTAAAGAGGGATAGTTGTTCTGATTGGATTACTGCAAGGTTGCATTCCTTCACTGTTTATGTTCACAAGGCATTGCAAGCTGTTCGATAATGCATACTAATTGAAATATTTATTATTGTAATTAATACCTTATTTAACTATTAAAATAATTTTATCAAAAGAAAACTAGCAGTAAATTCATTCCTATTTTTAAATATGTTTATTTCAGTTTTAATGTTCATAATTTACAATTATTACGTCAATCACTGCTTAGCATCGTTTGAACATACTGCATCAATTAAAATATCTTTGCATACCGCTTGGCGCTTTTGATAAATTACAGAAATTCGCTTAGTTCAAATTAAATATGATATGAGTGTTATTTCACATGCGTCCAAATTTATTAACATGTTTTTTTTATTACTTAACTGCTTACAGATCAATTGAGTCCTTCAACCATTCTACTGAATGTGACGAAGCTGTTGTGTACATAGCTGAGATTGGTTAATCGGTTAGGCTTACTTAGACATCGGGGATAAATTTTTTCGGTGTGACTGAAAATTGCCCAAAGTCAGGTTTTAATTTACCATTAGTGAAAACTTGTGGACTTGTGAGCTGGAATACACTAGTACTATATTTTACTAGCTGTGCAATCATAGGCGATGGAAATGTCAATTTCTTACTGCGAGTTTTTTACTCTTGTTGTAGCGGCAAAAACATCCCTGAAGTAATTTCGAAGAATGTTGCCGATTGACAACCGAGTTCCTTGCGATTATTAGACCCGACTGTTCTGAGAACTGTAGCGGAGGAGTGACATTTTGTGGTGCATTGGAGATAGAAATCGAATTTGGTAATTTGGTAGAATAAACCAAAGATATTATTATGACATACCGCCGGGTTGACAGTTCAATTCGGAAACTCGATGTCGATGCGTTATGCTGCTTTATGGTATTTTAGCCTTTTATTTGTGATTCTCTCTGCTGAATTATAACCTTTTATATTTACATGATACTCACATGATCATATTTTTTTTATTTTGAGTCCGGTTGAATGAATTATATGTATGTATGTATATCAAAGTATGTTATTGCTTATATAGTTGGTTAAGCAGGCAGACAGACTTAATTCTTTAGCTATGCAAGCTTTTTCGAAATAAGTAAACTTGGACAAGATCTTTTCACGACCCAGATGCCAGAGTCAGAACCTTTTTGTCTATGGCGAATTTAAATTCATGAACTTTTTTTCTCATAATAATGAGTCCAGGTGCTAAAAATAAATAAAAGCAGTAAGTAGAAAGAAATCTCTTTGGATTAAACAGGACAATACCTCACCTAGTCCCCATATACCTAACATACGGATTTTTAAACATCCACTTGACTTTATACCTTTTACATTGATCAATCTGTGAGGTTGCATATAAGAAAATGACAAACTTTTCAAACTTCTGGTGGGCTATATACCTTATATATCGATCAGATATTTTGGAAACACCTGAAAGTTCTTCCCCGTTCTTGGTCCTTGCAAGTTGCGAGAGTATAAAATGTTCGGCTACACCCGAAGGTCCCCTTAGGTCTTTCTTACTTGATTTTTATAAAGTTTTTAGCCAACCCGAAACTACAAACATGTGTATGTACATATATACTTTTATCTTTGCATAATCTCTTACTAAATATATATTCTAGTACGCTCTTTTTGTTAATTTATACATATGTCATAGTTCTAAAATCATCGCTTTGCAGTAAATTCCATGACATTTGCGTAATAAAATGTTGCAAATTAAAATTTTATCAATAACAAAAACAACAATAATAATAATATCGCCTACACATTTTAACGGTTCATTTGTAGCACGTTACCCTCATTTGTATACTTTATAATGCGCACTTTGCCAAATTTATTCACACACATATTCATACACACAATGCCATTAAGGGGCCATAAAATGTCTCCAGAGAATCCAGAAGAGCTCATTTGATTGCCATTAAAAGCGTTGCGGCAGAGGCTTTTCATATATATTTGAGCTTGTATTTGTGTTTATTAGCGTGTTATATTAAGTTGTTGTTATTGTTGCTGTTTTTATAAATAAATTTATGCATTTATGGTAATTTTGAAATGGCATTTTTGAATTTATGTCTTGTGTGTGTGTCTTTCACGTGTGTGTGTGTGGATACGTTCTATGCGTTTGGGATTAAGGCTGAAGGCTGCTTGGAGCTACTAACACATACATTTACATGTGCTTGTTCGAAAAAAGCTAGCAAAGCGGAATAAAACAGCTAGATCGAAATTAAAATTCAAAATATAAAAAATAGAACAATGAAGCCGCTTTGCGTTCAGAGTTTACACATTCAAACATGACTACTCATATACATATATGTATGTATGCACAAACATACTTGCATAACCACGCCAGCTGCAGCATGCATGTGCATATGTCCATGTCATAAATGTGTGTGGAATATCTATAAAGTAATTTACCCCGCCACCCCGCCACCGGAGCTGCATTGCATCCTCCGCCAAGATGGAGTCGAAATGCGGCTGAAAGCAAAGCTACTGACGCTAAGTTGGCCAGGCGGCTTGAGTGTCAGCCACGAAGCCGCAACTCGTTTGTCTGCTTACAGCTTACACACGCATATACTGCCACAAACGCAGCGCGCAGAAAGTCAAGACTGCGTCCCACTGAATTGCCGCAGCTTCAATGCGACGGCGTTAGCATCGAAATTAACATCGCCTCTTTAACTTCGGTACGCAAACTGCAAACTGCAAGCTCCAGCTTCTTGGTACTCCGCACAGCCGGCTTTGGTTCCATTGCTCCATTGGCGGGTCTGTGACGACGTCTTTAGCCGCAACAGACACAATCAGCTACCAGCTAAATGCCGACAGCCAGCAGCACAACAACGCGCTCGCTATTCACAGCATAAGTTGGTTTGTCTGCTTTACCGATTTTATTTTTTCAAGTTTTTTGTTTTTTCCAACTTTTTTCTCACTCTTCTTATTGTTGTGTTTCGTGTTGACCTACTTTTGCACATTTCATTTCTTTTTCCTTTCTTCGTTCGTCTTTCTTTTTACGTAGAGCAACAGTTGGACGTGTCTGTGTTAGCCATTCGGGCATAATTGACTTTGTTTACATGTGTGTGTGTGTTCAAGTTGCCGGTTGTATTCAAGTCGACTCACTTATACTTCTACCTCGAGCAGCTTTTTGGCGCGCACAGTGGGGCGTTGCTGTTAAAAACTATTACTAAAATAGTACTGAATTCATTTTGAAGAGAACAGTTTAGTTCGATACTCCAAGAAAGGACGATTTCAGTGTAATTTTTGCTTATCTGAGATGAGATTAGAAAGTCTTTGTTCTGCACAGTAAATCAGTAAATACATATATATATATGTTTTAGGTCTCTCTACCCCTGTCTCTTATACACATCTAGATGTGTATAAGAGACAGGAACAGTTTAGTTCGATACTCCAAGAAAGGACGATTTCAGTGTAATTTTTGCTTATCTGAGATGAGATTAGAAAGTCTTTGTTCTGCACAGTAAATCAGTAAATACATATATATATATGTTTTAGGTCTCTCTACCCTTCGTGAATTGTGAACAACTGAACTATTGGACTATTCTTCTACAAAACTTGGTCGCGATACCAGTTACCAACTTATACCACATAAAAGGGTTCCCCAATATCAGTCGTTCCCTTCTGACAATGGCTAACCTACGAAGTTATTTTTTACGCAAAAGCTGCTCATAAGTTATAAGATTCTACATTTTGATTCTGGATCCGGAATCCAAAAAGGCCTTTCTAAAAGTGTTTATTCATAGTTGATATTAAGTTAGGAATTTCATTGGATGCATATTATTTTCTTATTTCAATGATTCCTTCTTCATTTAAGCCTAGTAATATCTGAAAATTAGCAGAAAAAAACTCAATATACGGAACCCAACGGTGAATTGTTGTTAGGTCCAGCCCCTGGCTTAACTATTTCTTGAAATCTGCTGCATTGTGAAAGTTCCTTACCATCCACTGATCCTTGGGGAATCTTAACAGAAATATACTTTCTCCCATGTTATACAAATACCACAAAAATTTGTTCGAAGCATTGTTGATCATAACCGTACACTCCCTGTCGTGGAAAACCGTTGAATTTATGATCAACCGAGGCTCATATTTCAAAATATGTGACTGTGTGGCGAAGACTACTTTAGACTTAGGGTATCTGCGTATATGGGGGACCCCGCGTAACCTTCTCCTAATGGTTTCATTTTCGACGCCGTTGGAGAAGAGGTACAGTGTTAATTTTATGAATGTATTGAAGTTAAGAGGGAAAATGGGAGCTGAAGTCTTCCGTCGGGAGCTACCCATAAACTCTAGTTTTAGGCTACCAGACCACTTCAAGCGGAGATGGCTGCCATTTATGGTAGAAGTACATGAAGATTTCTTCAGAGACGTGTGCATTCACTCCGACTGTGCGCTCAAAACTAGCGAAGGAGTGCATGAACTCGTTGGCAATAGCATCAGCGGAGTCGCCGGAAACTGCAAAAGCGATGAGCTTGCTAAGGAGGATTC